AGATAGATAGATAGATAGATAGATAGATAGATAGATCCTGCAGGTGTTCAGTCTGCTGCTGTAGTCAGGCTGAGCTCTCCTGTGGGCACAGTGCTGTACAAAAGTCTTGGGCCACCCATCATTTAAGCAGCTAGCCCTCCCCCTACTTTTTAAAGTGCTTTTGAGCAACAGATCTACACTCACGTTCAGTCCTCGTAGCTCACAGGTGTGAGTTGTATTTGTAGACTCTTTGTTCCCAGCAGGCACACAGACACATTTCTGTACTTGTGTAACTGCCAGAGATAACACAGTTACACAACCTGCACAGCTCAGCAGTGAGTCCTCAAACACGTGAGGACACTGGACAGAAGAACAAGTGTCCTAAAAACTCTCTGCAGGTGAACAGCACCTGAGGCATGATGTGGAGACATGATGTGGACCTCCAGCTCATCAGGAAGCCGTTCTTCATGAAGACACAGGCTGAGCTGTGATGTCTGATGGAGCCACAGTTGAAGGATCATGTTTCTGATTTTCCTCCATGCACGAGACTTTTGCACAGTCCTGCAGCGTTCCTGGCTCAGACTGAGTAGCGGTTTTTGATACGGGTGACATGGGCGGTTGCCCGGGGCGGCATCATGGTGGGGGGCGGCATCACGGGCATCGGCAAAATAAAAATAAAAATTACTCGTACTCATGCTGCCCCGACATCATGCCAGCGCATATTGGGAATGTCGTAGGCACCGACTGGGTTTGCTGGGAGTAAGGGCGCCCTCCGTTTGCGAGGTGCGCCTGCTGCTTGCTGCACAGGGAGGAAAGGGCGGGCGGCGGGGGATTCTCTGCCTGGCTGGAGCAGCATCTAATAACCAACTCGCAAAGTAAAACAAAATTAATTGTTTTATTTGCTGCTTAAGTCAAAGTAAACTTTATTGTTATCTCCGCTACATGCAGTACAGTAGTGCAAGTAAACAAACAATAAATATAAGAAGAGTAAGAAAATAAATATACACTTTAGGACCAGGAGTAAAGGGATCAATAAAAATTTAAAATTTATAATTTACAGTTTGATGATTTAAAGTCTCACACACAACCCGTCGAAAGGGGAGGGGCCGGCTGCTTCCAAATAGAGCACATTTCATTCATAATGATGTAAATTCAAGCCCATTATGGATTCATGATTTGAACCCTGGGTTGTGCGAAATCCCAGAAATACAGCTTAGACAAAGTGAGTCTGTGAACTAAGGTGTAGGTCTGTTAGGTTATGTTGTGGTGATCCTCAGGTTGCGGGATTTGTGTTCATACTGGAGTGCAAAATTAAAACCAATGGAAGATGGACAAGAAAAGTTCAAAGCCATCAGATGCTCAGCTTAGAAAAAAGAGAAAAGAAGAGGAGGAGAAACAGCAAAAGATGCAGGTAAGCAGATGTGTGATTGGATAATGGCAGGTCATCCTGAACCAATCAGAATCAGAATACTTTATTAACCCTTAAAGAAATTATGTGGGTTACAGTTGCTCCAAGAAGAAATGGTAAAAATAGTAACGGTAACAGACTAAACTCCAAACAATACATGATGTTACAGATTTTACACGTTTAAGAAACAGCACTAATATATACAGATCACTCAATTATAAATATCAAGGACTAACAGAGGTGATTATAAATAAATATCAAGAAAATTAGTGAGAATATTCCAGAAAAGAGCGTGTGTTCAGCACAATATTAATTAGTCATTGTCAATTCTTTATTTGTCCTGTTCTCATTGTACGGCGAATTATGATGGCTGTTTGGTAGCCGTTTGCATAGTATGCATACTCTCTCTCTCTTCATATGTGTGTGCTTCTCTGGTGAAATTCAGTATGGGTCCAACAAGTTTTATGTTAATGTACAATCCATAATGTGTGTGTGTGTGTGTGTGTGTGTGTGTGTGTGTGTGTGTGTGTGTGTGTGTGTGTGTGTGTGTGTGTGGGTGGGTGGAGGGGGGAGGGGGCGCCGGAGGGAGTGTTCGCCCAGGGCGCCAAACAGGCTAGGACCGCCACTGCTCAGACTGACGTTTCTCATCATCGTCACAAACACGTCACGTGTTGGAAAAGTCGGCTTTTGTTGCTCTTACATCACGTTTCACTTACAAACCACGACATTTTTACACGTGCACGCCCGCACCCACGCGCGAGGAGCTGCAGATGCGAGTGACGTAGGATGAGGAAGTGCGCGTTCGCGGAGCAGAGCTCCTCCTCCTCGCAGAGCTGCGGGGGAATCCCGGAGGGGCGTGCCCGCTGTTTGCGCGTGAGTGTGAGCAGCACGTGCATCGTGAAGGGAGCGGACTGATTATCGGTTATTGATCAGAAGCAGCGCGCGCCGTCGCGCCGCCATCACATTGAATGTGTTCAGAGCGCGTCCTCGCGGCGCGCCCCGCGGCTGCGCGCGCACCTCCGCCCGCCGGTAACAGAGCACCGCGCGGACCCTGAACCGGTCTGAACCCGATCCTCGGACCGTCCTCGCTGTGGGCGGAGTCTGAAGCGCTGACGTCACAGCACAGCTGATCAGCGATCGATACTTGTGTGAGGAGTTGCAGCACGTGACTGTCAACTGCAAAAGGCGTTCTCATTGGTTGAGGAGGATGACGTGCTGGTGGTGAGCCAGCGGGGGGGCGATGGCCGGCGCCTACAGCAGCCGGGACCTGGTGGAGGACTTCCTGCGCTACAAGCTGCTCGGCAGGGGCGTGGCTTGGCCTCAGCGCCAGGCCAATGACGAGAGAGCCCCGCGTCCAGGTGAGGAGACGTCCACTTAGTTACCTGCTTCCTCAAACATGTCGCAGAGTAATGGCATCATCATCTCCTCCTAGACCCTCCTGTGGCCCCACCCTGCCTGCAGACCGTGCTGCGGAGCGCCGGCGACGAGTTGGAGCGACTTTACGGCAACGAACTGTCTGCGCAGGTGACGGTGCTGCAACTGCGTGGGAGCGGCGGTGGCGCTGCACGCCGGCGCCACCTGACGGCTATCAGAGAGGAGCTGTTCAGGGATGGCATGAACTGGGGACGCATCGTCGCCATGATGGAGCTGGGCGGAGCTCTGAGCGCCGCGGCCGCCAAGTCGGGCGACGAAGGTCAGATGGACGATATCGCCAGCTGGATGGAGGAGAGTCTGGACTCGCCGTCGCTCCGGAGATGGATCCATGACAACGGAGGATGGGTAGGAGCACGATTTCCCTCCGAGTCCTTATCTCCGCTGATGTTTCCTTGTTTCCTTTGCTGTAACCTTTCTCTGTTTCCTTGTGGTTGACTTTCCTGCTTGGCTGTGTCCTTCCTCATGCATCCTTCCATTCCTGTTTCCTCATCTACTCCTCTCTTGTCTTCCAGCTGAGAGACCCTGAATTTTCCTGGAATTCCAGGACTCCTTGTTTCTCATCAGTTGATGAGGTGGTTTTGGTTCTTCCTCTGCTTTTTCGGGGGTTCTGAAAAGGTGCTTGAGAGTTTTTAATGTTTAATGAGGTTCAAGTGTACTTGAAGAAGTTCATGTAAGCTAACGGTGGTCTGGCTGTGGTTGAAGGAAGTCCAGGACAGAGTTCAGGATCGACTGAGCACGCTCTGGTGCTTCAGGGAGTCGCAGATATATTTGAGGCGTCCTTGAAGGAGGTGAACCTGCAGGAGTGAGAGAGCTGAGGAGATCGCTGCAAACGTACCAGGAGGTCCGACGAATCAGATCAATCAGACAATATCAGAGCCACAGAGAGTGTATGAGCACTGAACATGGGGGTGTTTGTGAGGACCCTAAACCTGGTCCTGACCTCACCCTTCAAACACACACACACACACACACACACACACACACACACACACACACACACACACACACACACACACACACACACA